ACTTCTACTACTTCTACTACTTCTACTTCTAGTACTACTGCTGCTGCTGCTGCTGCTGCTACTACCACTACCACTACTACTACTACTACTACTACTACTACTACTACTACTACTACTACTACTACTACTACTACTACTACTACTACTACGTACTACTACTACTACTACTACTACTACTACTACTACTACTACTACTACTACTACTACTACTACTACTACTACTACGACTACTACTACTACTACTACTACGACTATTACTATTACTATCACTACTACTATCACTACTACTACTACCACCACCACTACTATTACTGCCGCTACTACTGCTACTACTACTACTACTACTACTACTACTACTACTACTACTACCACTACGACTACTACTGCTATTACTATTACTAATATTATTACTACTACTACGACTACTACTACTGCTGCTACTACTACTACCATTGTTACGACTCCTGTTACTACGAATACTACGACTACTCTTACGACGACGACTATTATCACGATCGGTATCACGACTCGTACTGCTGCTATATTACACGTATTACTACGGCGACGCCTACTACTACGACCAATAATGGCACGAACCTGCAGAAGAATTGTTATAATGGAAAAACCCGATACGCAATCATATGGCACTTACTAAGCATGATGAGTTACTAATACAAATCACTAGGATTCCGAACAGTAATGCTAATCGTAGAAATATTTCGAGTTGCAACACGCATGCGCGTACATGAAGGGCAATGCTGATGTGAAGAAACCGAATACACATGTGAAGACAATCAGACGAAGAAGAGTTGATAACCCTGAAATAAATCATAACATTAAGAATATTACACATTCCCATATTATAGTAGTACGATTAATCATAGTATTAGTAATACGAACGGCGATACCACTAACAATAAGTCGCCGAACTGCATGACATGCAATGCAATTTTCGAAGGTCCGCGCGGATTGCTTCGGGAGGGGGGGGAGGAGGCAGGAGGAGGCCGCTGCGGAGGAGGGAGGGCGAGGAAGACGACGATGATTTGGAGGAGGAAGACCAAAAGGGTGTCGGCAGGGGGGGGGCGGAACATGGCGGGATAATGAGGGGGAGGGGGGGAGTACGGGGGCACGATGGGGACAGGCTGGAAGGGGAAAGCGCGAGGAGCTGGATGGGGGATGGGGGAGAGGGAGGAGAGGCACGAGACGAGTGAGTTCCTTCTCCTCCTTTCCCTCGCCCCCCTTCTCTCGTCGGATTTTCCCTCCCTGCATCATGCCCTCCCTCCCTCCCTCCTGCTCCAGGCGCTCCCTCTCCTCCTGCCCGTCCTCCATGGACTCCTGCTTCCTCCTCATCATCATCCTCCTTCTCCTCTTCCTCCTCCTCTTCCTCCTCCTCCTCTCTTCTCCGCTTCCTCCTCCTCCTCCTCCTCCTCCTCCTCCTCCTCCTCCTCCTCCTCCTCCTCCTCCTCCTCCTCCTCCTCCTCCTCCTCCTCCTCCTCTCCCCCCGCCCTGCCCTTTGTCAGGTCGTGCGCCGGGTTTGCCCTGCTGGCCGTTGCCCTCGCCGTGATGTCCGCGTCGCTGAGCGGCTGCCCGACCTCTAAGGACCTGAAGGCCCCGAGGAGGAGGAGGCGGAGGAGGAGGCGGAGCCGGAGGAGGAAGAGGAGAGGAGGAGGAGGAGGAGGAGGAGGAGGAGGAGGAGGAGGAGGAGGAGGAGGAGGAGGAGGAGGGGGACGCGGAGGAGGAGGAGGAGGCGGAGGTGTAGGAGGAGGAGGAGGAGGAGGAGGAGGAGGAGGAGGAGGAAGGGGGAGGAACCCAGGTCCTCCTCCTGCTCCTGCTCCTGCTCCTGCT